CCCAAACTTGTTTTAGATTCTTTACATTCAGATTCTGAACAGCGCAGAGACTGAATACTAAATTCCCACTGTGGCCCTGCTTCACAGGGAGCAAAAATCCAACAATATACAAGTAATCAAAAGAAGTGTAATTAGAATTTGATGTTTATTCTATCTATTTCTAAAATGGATTTGAGATAACAGAAGCTATCTATAAAGGGTGAGTTATTTGAATTTAGAGAACTGTGACAGAAGTGGCTGAGTCTCTTGGGGAACTGAGTCACTCCCCGCCACATGCTCCTTCCTTGTGCCTGCCTCCTCTGATTTTTTCTTTATCCAATTGGCTATTTCTTGTGCCTTTTCCCTTCCTCCTCGTCCTCATTATCAACCTTTTCTTGTCACTTCTGGTGATTCTCACTGATGTAAGAACTTCCTGGGCCAGCCTCCTGGGAAATATGCTAAGTGTCTCAAATGGGAAACCCTTCAAATGTCTTCAAATTCAAAATACTATCACAAGGAAATAGGCTTATGATCATACAAGGCAGATGTGACAAGCTGGTGTTCAACTAAGCCAGTGGGTCTCATTTAATCGTGCATCAGAGTCGTCTGGGAGGACTTGTTAAAGCAGATTGCTGTGCCTCCAGAGTTCAGATTGAGTAGATTTGGGATAGCGTAGGAGATTCTGCATTTCTAACCAGGTCCCAGGTGATGCTGATGTTGATGGTCTGGGGATCAACTTTTTCTTTTTTTCATTTTCTCAAATTTTTTTTTATTTGGAAATCATTTCAAATGTAAAGAAGAGAAAAAAATCCCCTATTCCCTTGACCCAGATTGGGGCCACTTTTTGAGAACCACTGAGCTAATCTAAATTTTATGTCCAGGGTCTGGTACAAAGAGAGCAATCACCCAGCAGATGTCATGTCTCCTAAGAGCAAGAGTGGAACAGTATCTAAACTACCTAAGTAGAAAGCAAACCAACTATTTAAGAGCAAAAGGTGGGAAGGAGTGCCACAAAATGATGACAGTCAGGACCCAAGAGTTTTAAGCTCTGAATAATATTATCATCAACCAGTGGGAGAAGGTGTATCAGCTGATTGTCTCTCTGGTGATTCCTGGGGGGTGATTTTACAAACACCGAATCTATGATCTCCTAGTATAACTGGCTTTAGGAAAAAAGGAAAGCAATTATTGATGGAAACTCTTCTCTGTACACAGAGACACGGACAAGAGGATGACCACGCACCCCTCCTTTTTATTCCACACCTTAACTCAGACTTTCTCTCTTGCCCGACGTCTGCAGTAACTCCTAACCCATCTCTCTGCCTGCAATGACTCTCTTCCCAATTTATTCTCCATTCTAATCCTAAAATTATCATCTATAGCAGGATACAACAATGTCAGCTAAGAATCCTCAACAGTTTCCTACAGCCGAGAGAATGAAATCCAAATGCCTCAGCAAGGCACTTAATCTGGCCCCAACCAACCATCCAGATTCACGTTCCTATAAACCAGCCAAAACAGAAATATGCACAGGTTTACATTTCCTCAAACCCCTGTCTCGGTGCATAACTGGTTTTTGGGTTTTGGGGTTTTTTGTTCCCCTGGAAACTTTCCTTCTCCCAAAACAAAATCCTTAAAAGAAAGTTCTTATGTTTAAAAATACTGTTCATACTTGAAGGTGCTGTTCCAATACTTGGCAGCTTTCCTGCAGCTTCTCACATCTCTCCTTTGTACGCTCACCATACTGTGCGTGAACCTCAGAACACTCACAACATTCTGCCCTACTTATTACGTACGCTTTCTTCCCACGGGGTTTTTATAAGGTCCTTGAGGACAGGCACCGTGTCTTTTGTTCCGTGACCAAGAAGTACACAACAGGGGAGGAGAGCAGATGAAGAGAAGACAGAGAGGAAGAAGAGAAGAAGTGAGAAAACAATAGGAGAGCATGATGAGGGGACAGCTCAGTTTTAAAGATTCTTAGTCATTCAGAATCCTTTCGCTGAAGACAAAGCCTTCAAACATGCAGCACATTGTCCTTCCAAAACAATCAGACACTGAGTAGCTGTACATATTTTCTTTTGTTTTGCCAACACTACACCTTCCTTTCTTCTTGTTTTCTATCCACGCTGCTATTGAGTCAGTTTTACGTGTATCTCATCTCCCACCTGATAAGCACAACGGCCCTCGGCAGTCAGTACTTCGGCATTAAAAGAGACTCAGATCTCTCCCCACCGGTCTACCCCTTTGACATTTGCCCCTTTCCGTGGGGTTGGTCCAACTCCTGCCTTGTGGATCACCTTTAGTAGGAATCTGATCAATATTAGAGAGTTACCTCCAATATGAAATTTTTCCTCCAATATGAAATTTTTTTTGAGTATTTACAAAAGAAGCATGCCAGCAACTCTAAGTATGACCAAAAGCTGGATCATCTGCCATTCTTCCTTACCACAATCAGTAAAAGGTATTCCCGTCCAAAAGAAATCTCAGCGGCTCTTCACAGACACTCATGCCCTCCTCCTTTGCTACCAGCACCCGCCAGCTGTCTTCAAGCAGATGGAGACAGAGCTGACTCCGGTAAGCATGGCACTCAATCCCTTCCAAAAAGGCAGCGGAGCATCTCTTTTCCTGAGGTAATAGGAATAGTTTCAGTTTCTGCCTAACTCTTCCTGGGGGAAAAACAAAGAATTGCACTTGAAACTAGCTCAACAAAGCAGGCTCCCTATCGCTCCAGAGACCTGGGCCGCCGCGCCTCAAGTGCCTTGCTTCATTTCCCTAGACCACGTCACTCAAGTCACTTTCTCTCTTATATCTCCACAAGTTTCTTCTGCCTCTGTTTCTCTGAGATGAGATACCTGGACCAAGGGAGGAGGCCACGTGATAGACACAAAAAATGCAAAGCCGTACTATCTATGTACCACCACTATCGTCAGTCTTCCAAAAAGGGAGCTTGTTCTCCGTCTCCCATTTATTTTCCTTGAGAGAGTAAGTAATGCCGAGTCACAAAATCTGTAGTATTCTGCTCCCCATTTCTCTACTATAAATTATGTTTATAGTTTATTAAGAAACAGCTGACTTCAGTTTTTGCCATTTAGTTAACCCTTCAACATAAGGACAATATGAAATCCTTAAAATGAGCTGAATAGACATCAAATACTCAGAAGTCCAAATTACTTAGATTGGTAGAGGTCAATGTTCTGCATTAAATAGGAACAGAAAGTCTCAATTTTGTATTCTGATTATGCATGCCGAATAGCTGAGTAAAAAACAAATAAAATATGATAGATGAGGGCACTTGGGGTAGGAATACCACCCCAGTTACTGAGGAAGGTCTAGGAGTGAGCAAATGTAGGTGTGTCCTGACCCCCTTTCAACTCTATGTACTTCTATTTGGACCTTTAACTCTCCTTCGCCACTGTGGAGCTGACTGAGAAATAACCTTTTAATATTTCATTCTATTTATAATTTTTATAGCCACATAGCCACTAAGCACATGCTTCTGAATGGGTATTTACCAGAAAAATAATTATAAGAAAACAATGAAGTACCAATTTAAGATTGTCATTACCCTTGTCTTTCTACAATGTTGGTTTATCAAATTAGTTCACTCTAAAAGATGAAGTCCATTATATGCTTACGGGGCTTAAAACTTGGCCACCTTTTCACTCCATAAGTGAAGGAACAAGTCTAGAATACTGTTACTTGGTTTAGGTTAAAAGGCTATTTTGTTACATAGGACCAGAACACCACCAAGACCTTCCATTATATTTCACAATCCTCAAAGAGAGAGCTTGAAAGACAGGCTTCATTACCCAGAGCATTTAGATATACCAGAGGTTAAATCAACTACTCTAGGAAGAAAGATAATCCGTTTTATGCCTTGGCCTTTGCTATAAAGTAATCCCTAAGTGAGTCCAATAAAGATGCTATAAGGCCCCTGAGAGGCAAAGAGCCCTTCAGTGCTATCATCTGATTTCTTTCTGTTTGGATTCATATATTATGACAAGTGAATTCAACCAAGGCACACAACATGAAGGGTCCTAATATACTGTTATTGGTCATAACATGAATATTATTAATAAATTTTATACTGTTCAGTATATACATTATATGAAAGCAAAACTCAATCTTGGTTCAGAATGACACCGATATAAGACAGAAGAAGCCAGAGGGTCAAAACATAACAGGAATAGGAGCTGCTAAAAAATGTTCAAAAGACAGGTTTAAATATGCTATCAAGAGTTCAGTTACTATAACAAATAAGTAAAAAGGCCTATATCTCAAAAAATACTACCTTATATAATAGTAAAGCTGCTAAAAGGATGGCATTCTTTTATACTCTTAGGGAGTTTAACATCTGTAAAATAGAAATGGTTGACTTTCATATCATAAGATAGGTCGCACTACACAATAAAATTATTGGCAACTTGTTGGAAAAACTCTCATAAAGAGCACGGAAAAACAATAGTCAATGACATTGGTAATTTCACATAAAATATAAAAATCAAGTGAGAGCAGGGACTCAAACAGATGTTTGTACATCAATGGTCATAACAACACTATTCACAACAGCCAGAAGGTAGACCCAAATGTACACTGACAGATAAATGACTAAGCAAAATGTGGTATATACATACAATGGAATATTATTCAGTCTTAAAAAGGAGTGAAATTCTGGTATATGCCACAGCTGGATGAACCTTAAAACATTATGCTAAGTGAAATGAGCTGGAAACAAAAGAATAGATACTTCATGACTCCACTTCTACAAGAGACCTAGAAGAGTCAAATTCATAGAGGCAGAAAGTAGAATAGTGGTTACTCGGGGCCAGAGGAATGGGAGGTTGTTTAATGGGTACAGAGTTTCAGTTTGGGATGATGAAGTTCTAAGATGCATAGTGGTGAAGGTTCAATAAAAATACAAATGTACTTAATGCCACTGAATTGTATACTTAAAAGTGGTTAAAATGGTAAATTCATGTTATGTATATTTTACCACAATAAAAAAATCAAATAAGAAATACTAAGTGGCAAGTTCCTTTATGATTTTGACCCACATGACATATGCTCAAAACAGACCACCAACGAAAGTATCACCCACAGCATTAGCTATACTAACAACATTTCTAATATACATCATCAAATAAAAGCAGACCTCAGCTCATTACCCCAAAGACATTTATCCTGTGTGTCGATTACTAAAATAATTCATGTCCACCATGATTGTGAAGGATGTACTTAAATGAAGAGCAAATTCCAATCAAACATACAAAGAGAGAGAAAAATTGAAACAATGGAATTATGTCAACACATTGAAACAGCAACCATCTGTTGACATTACTGTCCTCTGAATCCAAGGGATCAAAATCATGCGGTGGGGTTAGGGGCTTCACCTTCGTTGTGAAGTCCTGCTTTCATGTCAAAGGGCACTTCTGGAAGGAAGCTCTGTAACAGCCAGTTCTAAGCACTTACAGATTTCCTACTAGTCCTACACAGGAAGTCATTCTTGTGTCTCACCTGCATGAGTTCCTGTTAGGCGGCCAGAGGGCTAGTAAGCTGAAATCCAGTTCCAGGGAGTGATGTCAACTTGATTGAGCTATGATCCTGGTGACCTGCTCCCCATCCTGGTGTTGTTACAGTCCTTCAGCTGGGGTTCAGCTTACAAGGGGACCAAAAGGAAAAAGGGGGAGTAAGACAGTAGAAAAGGGAAAAATGCTTGCACATTTCCTTTGTTTCACTAAAGCATTTTCAGCTTCCATTTAATTTGATGGGTGGGCCTGGCTGATGGCAGATGAAAGCTGTACAGATGCTCTTGGAGTAGAAATGGGCTCTCACACAGATCTCAAAAGTACAAAGGATTAAAGCAGACAGAAACTTTCATTATTTCTGGTAGATCCTAACTTGTAAATCATGACTTGCTCTTTCTTCTTTGGATAAAGTTTAAAAAAAAAACAGACGAACACTTTTAAAACATTTGGAAATTATTGTAAACAAAGCATGACTACAAGAGCTATCTTAGCAACATAAATACCAAATACAAAGTCTGGATATGTGTAAATACTCATGTTCTTTCTATACAATAGATAGTCAAAGAGATAAGGAGGTCAACTCTGAAAACGCCATTACTAAGTAATGAAGGAGGACTGCCAATCAATTCCATTTAAATGAGATCCTTTGGTTCACAGGATACCAAACCAAAAACTAAAATGAAGTCAAGCATAAGCAGCAGCAGAAATTGCTAACATTACAAAATGAAGAAAGGCCTTTCAAAAAGAGAAGTTTAAGCAATTAAATGAAGAGGAAATTTAAATTTTTACCATTTATTTTGCATCATGATTTTAGTCCTTAGGTTGATACAATTGGGGAAAATAAATACTCCCTTCCCTTTCTTGCTACATATGTATTAGTGGGAGTAGGAAGAACAGAATATGAAAGAACAGGCAAAGGGTACAGGAGATTCAAAGATAAAGTTGAAGAGAGAGACAATGAGGGTTTATACGAACCCTTCTGTAAGCAGAATCAATCAACAAAGTATAAAGTTGACAATGTTAAGTGTTTTTTTCCCACGTGGACTTCTGCAAGGACAAAACAGTATCAGACTGCATTCAACATACATTAATTATATAGCATTGTGGCACAGGTTTCCTATCAGACATGAAGTGTGTATGCTTTTTTCCCACACTTTTTATTCTCCACAGATGACACTGTTCATGAAGCACTGTTAGTATATTATTCAGCGAAGATTAATTTGATCATATAAATCAATCTTAGTGAGCAGAAAGCACTGTTAGCTGCCATGTAAAGGTCCTCCTTTCGAGTAACAATTCTACACTTGGAGTTCCTATCAGGAAGTTCTTGAAGGGCACTCCTCCTTCAGCTGGGTTCACAACTCATCTGCAACACTAAGTGCAGGTAAAGACCACATCTTGGTTAAACGTTAGTGCATAACAGCCCCTTGCCAATGGAGCCAATATCTTGTCCAGACATTAATCGTAAAGGAATTGTTCTCTTTCAGTCTTTTTCTTCCCCCATTTCCTCTAAAGGTCTCTATCCCAATGCACTGGTGCTCTTTAAATGGCCGTGCGGTCTCTGTGCCGGAGACGCCCATCACAGAAGAGATCAGAATGTGTGCCCTTAATCCTGTACTATGTTCATCTCATCAGTGCTGCCCAATCCACAGGGGTAAAAAATGGATGAGATTTGATATCTTCAACACCAGCAACTCCAGCACCAAGACGCTCCACAGGGTTGAACTGCAAGAGCTAAAATAGAAGGATTCAGTGAGTGAAAGGATCCAACTGCCAAATCAAAGGAAAACAAAAACATATGAAAGGACTTCTAAATTCAACCCCAGGGACAAATGGACTTGATTAATAGGCAAGTCACTACATTTCCTTGAAAAGGAGCTATGTCTAAAACCATCTAGCTGTGGGGTTGTGGGAGTCTGAGTTTATGGTTTTTCAACTGAACAGAACATGACTTTGAGTAACTCACTTTGTGTCTCATCCTCAGGAAGTATAATAGGATAGTCATATCTATCAATTTCCTACTCCAAAAGTACTTCATGACATTAATTAGATATTGCAGTAAATTCTGAGAGATCCAGGTACTCCTTTCACGATTAGAAAGTTTGGGAGGCACAGTAAGTCTTCCAACCTCTAGTGAATTATATATGCACTGCAACTAAACTTTCCCTTAAGTATGAATAAGCTTAATTCATATTCCAAAGTTGCTTTCTTTGGAATAGCTGATTCACATAATTCACATTGATCCAATGAGTGAAATGTGTTTTGACTTCTTCAATAATAGAAATATGTATAAAAATTAAGAATGTTATATGCAGAAGTATAGAATAATAGAAGAAACATATATCTAATTATAGTAGATTCTGGGCATGCTCAAAGAATGTCTTGACATAGTCCTGCATCCTCAAATTTGTGTTTTAACAGCTTCTCTGAGGCATAATTTATACAGCATAAAATGTATCTATTTTAAGTGTACAACTCAATGATTCTTAGTAAATAAGAGTTGTACCATCATCGATACAATACAGTTTTAGAATCCTTTGATCACCCTAAAAAGTTTCTTCATGGTTTTTGCAGTTAATCCTTACCTACATCCCCAGTTCTAGGCAACCACTGATCTGCTTTCTCTCTGTATAAACTTGTCCTTTCTGTACATTTCATGTAAATAGGATCATAAAATAAGATGTCTTTTGCAGTGCCTTCCTTCACGATAGCATAATGTTTTTAAATTCACCCATGGTGTAGCAGGTATCAACAATCCCTTCCTTTTTATTTCTAAGCAGCATTCCACTGCTTGGATATAACACATTTTGTTAATCTATTCACCAGTTAATAGACATGTGGACTTTCCAAGTTGAGGCTATAATGAATAATATTGCTATTAACATTTGCATATATGTCTTTGTGAGGACATATGTTTCATTTTTTTAAGGATATTCCTAGAAGTACAATTGCTGGGTCATGTTCTAAGTTTTTAGTTAGCTTTTTAAGAAACTGCCCAACTTTTCTAATGCCATTATACATTCCCACCAGCAATGTGTAAGGGTTCCAGTTTCTCTACATCCTCACCAACACTTGATACTGTCTATTTTTTTTTATTACAGCCCTTCTACTGGGTAGTAGTGGTTTTTCATTGTGGTTTCAATTTATATTTCCTAAATAAAGACAGTGAGCATCTTTTCATGTCCTTATTAGCCATTTATATAGCTTCCTTGGTGAATCTTTGCCCATTTTTATACTGAGTTGTCCACTTTTTGAGTATAAGAGTTCTTTACATATTCTGAATACAAGTCCTTTATCAGTTACATAACTTGCAAATATTTTCTCCCAGTCTGTGGTTTGTCTTTCATTCTCTTACTGATGTCTTCAAAGCGCAAAAGTTTTAATTTTGATGAAGTGCATGTTACTGACTTTTTCCTTTTATAGATCACTATTGTTGGTTTTGGTGTCACATCTAATAACTCTTTGCCTAACCAAAAGTCATGAAGACTTTCTCCAATGTCTTCTTCTACAATTTTTATAGTTTTTACCTCTCATTATAGGTCTATGAGCTATTTTGAGTTAATTTTTTGGCATACAGTATGAAGTAATGGTCTTAGTTCATTTTGGTTGTAGCATATATTTTATTTTCCCATCACCATTTGTTGAAAAGGCTATTTTTTCACCATCAATTTATCTTGGCACCTTTTGAAAACTCAATTGACCATAAATATAAGGGTTTACTTCCAGACTCTCAATTCTACTCTATTGATATACACCTACATGTTTATGCTCTAATAACAGAGTATCCAAGTAATTACTGTGGATTTAAAACTAAGTGTGAAAATCAGGTAGTGTCAGTTCTCCAACTTTGTTCTCTTTCAAAATTGTTATGGATAATCTAGGTTCCCTGCCTTTTCATATACATTTTGGAGTCAACAAACAGTTACCCAATTTTGCTGATCTTTTCAAAGAAACAACTTGTGATTTCTTTGATTTTTCTCTTTTTTTCTCTTTTTTATTTCACTGATTTCTGCTTCCTTTCTTCTGCTTGCTGTGGATTTACTTTCCTTTTTGTATTTTTTCTTGTTTTCTGATATAGGTATTTAAAGCTATAAATTTTCCTCAAGAACTGATTTAGCTGCATCATATAAATTTTGACATGTAGTATGTTTGTTTTTATTCCATTAAAAAACATTTTCTAGCTTCTCTTGGGATTTCTTCTTTAACTCACCATTTGTTGAAAAGGCTATCTTTTCACCATCAATTTATCTCGGCACCTTTTGAAAAATCAATTTTTATTTAGAAGTGTGTTATTTATTTTATCTTGGGGAGTATCAAATTTCTTTATTTGAAGGGATGGCACAAATGAAAGAACTTAAGTAGATATTTTAGTACAACTTATAAAAAGGTAAAAGTAACCCTAGCATGCAGGCACTGCTTTGGTGACCAGGGAAGTCACCCTTGTGGCTATGGGAAACCAGCCTAAGGCTCAGCTCTCATTATCACTGACTCCCACAGTATGCTTGTTGAAGAAATACTCTGCCATGCCAGACTTAAGGGCCCCGATTCTGTACATGTTGGTTATGTGATCATGCAGTTCTTTGATGGATTTCACCTGCTTAGTCAGGTAATGAGTCTCAATGAAGTCATCAAATGGGGACCATTTTAGAGAGTGGCCAGTTTGTACAGTTCCAGTAGTGATTGATGCATGCTTTTTTCCAAGTGTAATGCACACTGTATTGCATTCAATCCATTCTCCCAGTCATCATGGTCTGGTTTCTTCATCTCCTAAAGTAAGATTCGGCCATCTCATTGGTTCTGCTGTTTTATCAATTTCTCAGCATATTTCTTCATGAGATTGGAAAACAAAATATCTGGCAAAGTTCTTCAAAGCCACATCATCACAGTCAAAAAGTAATAAGATATGGACAGGTAGACATAGGAGACACAGAACTTCAGGTTGACCTCTCACTTGATGGTGGCCTCCAAGCCCTGGTGGTAGTTGTGGTGCACCTACAAGGGGGACAAGGTCATGCTGGTAGGCTCCTGAAGAGAGGTGGGCACAGCCTTGGGGAGCAGGGAGTTACACGGGGGGAGGCTGGCCGAGGAGGCAGAGCTACAAGCAAGGAGACAGAGGGCTGGTTCTCAGGGGCCAGCCAGGTAGGGGACCAGCACCAGGTCTCATCCAAGCACTGCTGGAGCAGGAAACCACAGCTACTCAGAGAAGACTGTCAAATGTGTTGTTTATTTGTGGGTTCACCAGCTCTCTTTCTGTTGATGATTTCTAATTAAATTGTTATGGTCAGAGTATGTTATATGATTTCAATCCTTTTAAATATTGAAACTTGTTTTATGACATAGCATATGATTTATCTTGGACAATGTTCCATGTGCACATGATAAGAATGTATTCTGCAATCAACTTAGAGTCATTTGGCAATGTATAAGTCTTCTCTATATCCTTGCTGATTTTCTATTGATTATCAAGAATGGGGTTTTGAAACATCCGTTTATTATTATTGGATTGTCTCTTTTTCCCTCCATTCTGATTTTGCTTCATGTTTTGAGTCTATTACAGTATATACCTTTATAACTCATATAAATATATAATGCTTATTCTTATATTCTAAGTATATATATAATTCTTATATATTTCCATGTATTGACCTTTCTATCATTATGAAACATCTGCCTTAAGTCTCTAGTAAGTCTCTTGTCTTCACATCTATTTTGTCTGGTATTTAATACAGTGACTCCGGCTCTCTTATGGTTACTGTTTACATGGCTTATCTTTTCCCATCCTTTTTCTTTTAACCTATTTGTGTCTTTGAATTTAAGGTGTCTCTCATATATAGAAAATAGTTGGATCTTACTTTTTTATCGAGTTTAATAATCTCTGCCTTTTGTTTGGCATGTTTACACATTAATAATGAATGTAATTATTGATATAGTGGGTTTACATTTGCCATTTTGTGATTTCTTTTCTACATTGATCGGGTTTTTTTGTTCCTCTCAATTTTCTTTTACCATTTTTTTTAATGGTTGCTGTAAAGATTACAGTGTGCATCTTAATTTACTTCAAGTCAATATAAACATAATTCCTATGAAATGCAGAACTTTTGTTCCACTACAGCTCCATTCCTTCTGCCCTCCTTTGCCTATTATTATGTGGTATGTTATATGTTACATCTATGTGTATGATAAACCCAAGAGCACAGTGTTGTAATTACTGCTTCATATACTCACGTCTTCTAAAAGAAGTTGAGAAGAGAAATGAGAAAACAGATATTTAGTCTTTTCTATTAACTCATATTTACCATCCCAGTGATCTTCATTTCCTCCTATGGATTTGAGTTACTGTCTGGTGTCATTTCCTTTCAGTCTAAAGGACTTCCTGTATTATTTCTTGTAAGGCAGATATGTTAGCAATTAATTTTCTCAGTCTTTATTTGGGACTTTATCTTCATTTTTGAAAGATAATTTTGCTGGATATAGAATTTTTGGTTGATACTGTCAGCACTTTGAATATGGCATTCCATTGTCTTCTGTCTTCTGCTGTTTTTGATATGTCAGACATTAACGTTTCCTTGTGTACAAATGAATGGCTTTTCTTTTGCTGCTTTCAAAATCTTCCTCTTTGTTTCTGTCTTTCAGCACTTTGACTGTAATATGTCTAGGTATGGATTTCTTTGGGTTTTTCTACTTTGAGTCCTTTGAGCTTCTTGGATACATACCAATGCTTTTCATCAAATTTGGGATGTTTTTCAGCCATTATTTCTTCAAATATTTTTGCTGTCCCTTCCCCTTTTTCTTTCCTTCTGGGACCCCCATTATATGTATATTGGTATATTTGATATTGTCTCTGTAGCCCTTTTCATTTCTCTTCCAATTTTCTTGTCTGTTTCTCAGATAGGATTAATTTCTATGATTCTATCAAGTCCTCTGATTCTTCCTTTATCTATCTCAAATTTGCTGTTGGAATGCTACAATGAATTATTTTCCCCGCATAGTTAATTCTTCATTTCAATTACTGAACTTTTCAACTTGAGAATTTCTTTTTGGCTCTTTCTTGTTTTTTAATATAATTTCTGTCTCCTTACTGAGAACCTATATTTGTTGGTTTGTTGTTGTTATAGTTTTCTTTAATTTTTTATACTTTGGTTCCTTTAGTTCTTTGAACATTTTTATAATAACCACTTTGAAGTCTTTGTTAAACCCAAATTCTGGGGACGCTAAGAGCCAATTTCTACTGACTGCTTTTTTCCCCTTCATATGGGTCATACTTTTTTTTCTGTATCTTATACTATTTTACTGAAAATAGATAGGACACTGGAGTCTGATTTTTTTTTTTTCCTGTAAAGACTCTTGTCCTTGCTGTTGGTTTGTTTGACCTTCAGTAACATGTTTCAGCTAATCTGTAAATCTACTACCCCCACCCCACCGGACCAAGCAGCTGTTGATAGCTCTGCTCATTTTTTTTTTTGTTTTTATTTTTAAGTTTGGCTTCAGAGGGGTCACCCTGTGTCTGCATAGCTTAGTGGTCCCTGGTGATTGAAAAGAGACTGAATTCAAATGCTTCAGCTACTAAAGCTTCCATCCTCTGCCAATGGATGGGAGAACACATTCAAACTGAGACCACCTTCAAGTCTTCCCTAGTTTTTACTTTCCACTGAGATCTTTCCCTGTTCTTATGCACATGCACGCAGCTTCAGGGTTGGTGCTCATGGCCTGCCCTAAACTGGTAGAAACTTCACACCTGACTAGGCAGAGAAGAGAGAATGGGAGCTGCCCCAGGCAAAAATGCCATAGAGCCTCACTGTTCTTTCCCAAACTTCAGCTGTTTATCAAGCATAAACAGTCTCCAGATTGTTGTATCCCTTTGATCAATTTCCAGAACACAGAGGTGGTTGTTTTGCAAATTCTGCCCAACTTCACAATTTCCTTTTTCAAGGAGAGTATTTGCCAACTCCCTCACATGGCCACAGCCATTCAAATATGAGAATATTTCTACAGCAAATAATTTTTCCCATAGAATTTAGCCATCTGCAACTGAAGTATTTAAATAATGTCTTTACATTAATTATTCTATACATATAGAAAAATCCCATCATTCAAATTTAACCAAAACTATTTTTTTCTCTAATTTTTAATTTTCTTTCATTCATGATTCTTTGATTCAATTATCTGTATGAAAAATATGAATTGATTTCATGCTGTGTGCCAGTCCACTACTTTTTTAGACCTTTTTCCCTTGTATCACCAGCTGTTGCCTCACTTTTATATTATAAGCAACTACATTTCATCAAATTACAAATTACCATATGTCATGAACCTTCAATATTGTCCTATCAGTAATAACAATCCAGAACACTTATGTGCCATTTATTGTGTACCAGGCATTATTCTAAGTGTTTAACATAAGTTAACTCAATTCACCACTCTATAAATAGCTACTATTATTATCTCTACTTTACAGATGAGAAAATAGAGACAAATAAATAACTTGTTTAAGATCATGCAAGTAGTCAGTAGCAAAGACAGGATTTGAATTCAGGTACTATGGCTCCACAGTCTATGCCCTTTACTACATTACACTGATTCATGAGTGCATGGTCTGCAAATGCCAATAATCTATTATTTCACTTTGATATTACTAAATCCACCAGGAGAGTGAAGCATATACTTCAAAAGACTATACTCACAGTCTTTTTACTTGAGGTTATTGTACCTAGCATTCAAAATGACTGTTTATTAAAGCTAACTGCTCAAAGAATTTTTACATTAGGAGCCGCTAAACTATGTTGAGAAAAGCTATGATAAAACAAACATAAGAATATCCTGTATTTATCAAATCCATTTTCAGAAATCAGACAATTCATGTCTACTAATTATAGAAGTCAATAGAGCATGTCGAGTCAGGAAATATGGAAGCCATCAGATAGTTATATATAAATCTAAAATACTAAACATTAGTAAGAATTAACTATAGCATATTTTTTAATATTTCAGGAAATATAAAAACATGTAAGTTCTCTCTTCTTTGTTACAACTAACTTTTTCACCCCATTCTTCCCAAAACATGACCTTATTAAGAAATTCCAACAAAGGCTCATATTTTGACATTTACTAAAGTCAATTTACTTAGCTAATGGACTCCTCTACAAATTTGCAAGTATAATCTATAGGCAAAAGTAAGATTGTTTTACTCATGACTATCTTGTTTATTATTCTGCCATTTTAAATACTATACTAGGCCTCAAGAGAGATTACACAAAGATTCTATTGCTTAAGAGAATGTCAGCCAATGGTAAATCCAAGATACTCATTATCAACTCCTTTCTCCTAAAAACCAGGCAATACACCAGAGCAATGAAGGCACAAAAATTTGTTTTGAGGGCCTTTTTTCTTACATATCATTCAACTGACAAAACACCTGTCATAATTAAAGTTACACTGTAAGTATAAACATACATGCTCTGAGGATTTGTAAAATGTAATTTTCTGAAATTTGCATTTGAAATGTAACTATGTTAAGCGCCAGTCACTTATCTGATATAAGTGAACCATAGGTACACCATGGGAGATTATGAAATCTAGGAAGAAAGCAAGGAGCTAAAAGACAAATCTCCCCAAAGCAGAATAATTATTTCCATATAAATCATTTTGTGGTTTTTTTTAAAAAGACCTTTATGACCTGTGAGGTAGTGGAAGAGGAAAGTCAAAATGACAAATTGCTAATCATGCCAAGAGACCCCTTTTCCCTTTCCTGATGACGTTTCCTCCAGATGAGTGGTAGTTTCTCTAGGCAGGCCAGTGACAGAATGCAGATTTACTATATAGCCTATACTTATCTGTACTTGGGGATTTAACATACTTAAGTCTACATTGCGTTACAACATAATTTCTAATAAAGATAGGAGCAGCAGGCCTTTATAATTAATGCAGGGAATTATAAATATTTCTTTAAGGTAGAAAAACAAAAATTAGTTGCTAGCCTTCCTTAAATTACTTACCAAAAAAACACTGAATTTACCTTTGTTGTGCCAGAGCAAATAAGATGAAATCAAATGAGTGGCTTCCTTTTTCCCATTAGAATGAAATGTTTTCTGTATCTCTGCATTACCTCCTGACCCTTTTGCAAAGTGGTGAGGGTATTCTCATCTCAGTATTTCCAACCTCATTCTTTTCTTTATATTTTACCTACTCTGGGCAAATTAACCATCCTGACGTACAACTCTGATTCTTTCATACTTCTGCACAAAAACTCCAAATCTTGTTTTCTTTTTAAATAAACTAAATCCTGCCACTCTACCCTGGTGTTCATGATAACAGAACCCCATAAAAGAACCCCAACTTATCTTTCCATACTCATCTATTACTATTACTCAACCCTATATTCATCCCTCCAACTCTAGATAACCATGCCTTCGATATTCCAGACTGAATATTCTGGACTCCTTCTTCGTCAAAGCTCTTCTTTCACCTGGCTATTCCCCCTCATCTAACCTTGTCATGCCAAAATTCTAAGCCTCCACAAAACTAACAGCCAGAATACAAAAACTTTCCTAATTACTACTACTGCATCAACCAAAATCCCTCCTTATCTTGACTTGCTTAAGTATTTTTTCACAGCCTTTATCAATGCATTTGTGATATACTTATTTGTGAGTCTTATTTTTGTAGCTTACAGCAATGTGCCTTGTATATATTTGTTGAATGGAATCAAAATCACTTTTCAAGAAAATACTAGATAATTGTCTTCTTAACATTCCCTTCCCCTTTGTTTCTTTTTCTTTTTAAATTTGTTGTCCCTGATGAAAAAAATAATTCATGTTTCATTACATGAACATTTTTAGTTCTTGATCTTTTCCAAATAACCTCTCCCTTTATGTTTTTCATAGAAGTATAATGATCCCCAGGCCCAACATTTCTTGCTGATTTGCCATGAACCTATCATCCCACAATGCTGACAATCCTCAGTGTACACACAAAAACCCACTATTCACAACTAGAGCATTTAAAATATGGAGAGCCAATTTAAGAAGCTCACTAGAGTTCCAGGCCTACCTCTGGGATACTGAAGTTTAATGATCAATAGTTTCTTCTTTCAAAGCCACTGCAAATGCACTAACTGGTACCAGTGCCCAAGTTCCATCAAATGACGAAGGTAGGAGTGATTTAACTTGGCAAAATTTCCTACTACCACTTCTCTCCTAAGCAATGTGAGTAGACCATTCTTAAACTTATAAATATGAATTAAAGATTGAAAACAACCATTCATATTGGGCTACAAAATAGCAAAAACAGAGCAGCTCCAGACAAGCTGAAAGCCTTACTTCAATCTCACACTTACACAAATGTGTGTAATCGACTAGACATTAGTCTGGATTAAAAACAAAAAAAAACCAGTAAGTTTTAACTGTTTTCTCTGACCTTACCAATACATAAATAGGAGCAGAAGCCTAAAGATATACAGTATAAACTCTGAATTTGTTATTATTAGTATTGAGTCTTTCTTGCCCAGAAATAATTTCTTAAGATTTTAGAGCTGTGGGCTCTGCTAATTTGCATGGTTGATATACTCAGCCAATAGGTCGATTAAATTACCTGTTGAATGAGTGAGCGAGCCTCTTCAGAGACACATTCAGGCATGTTCAAAGTGGTGTGAGTATTTATTCCCGCTGGATGGCACTCAACCAGAGTCTGAAACAATCAGTCACACACATTTCTTATCCCAAATAACATCACATTCTGTTCTGTCACAAGATTTATGAACAAGTACAGAGAACTCAATAACCACCTTAACTGGAATGTAGCGACCCACTCAGTGCCACCTAAGCAAATTAGGACAAGGGCTATGAGCTTACAGAACATCTAACTGAATTGAAGGCAATTGACAGAACCACATCAGAAGTTTATGCCACTTACCCTTTTCCCTTAGTTCGAGAATAGCTCACAATAGAAAAGTTTGCATTGCACACAGAAACTAAAAAGGGACTTGGTATCTCTGAAATTTTGTAATGTTCTTAAAAACCTTTAAAATTTAGAACTTGTTAATAATAATAATACTTTATGTATATACAGCACTTCATGGTTTAAGGGTAAGTATAAGTGATTTGCAAATTCCACAACAATCTTAGAACTGCAGTATTATCTACATATTTAAGATAGATGACTACTTACAAAAGTATGACTATTCATTTCCTGTTTTCTTCCCAGGAGGCAATCTGCACAATACTCTACTAAAGTCCATTAACCTCACACATCTTACTTAAAAGTTATCAATCAGAGAGAGTATAAATTCTGTCCTTAAGCTAAAACAGATAGGAAAAATGTACAGTATTGGGAAAAAAGATAACGTTATCTTTAATATCTACAGTAATTTTCTAAAATGAGAATTCCAGACAAGATATTTAAATAAAACATCCAAAGAATTCTAAAACATTCTTACATGAACCTTACAGATTTAATGCTGTTTGTTTAATGTTTAATGTGATTGCTAACATTGTGACATAACGATTTTTCCATCAATTGATTCAAAGCAAGACAATTCTACTTTTTAAAAATCTGGAACCTTGAAAAACTTGCATTTTTCTGCCCTTTTTTTTTTCTTGTATCAAAGATTTTCTTACTGAGTCCCTGATCTAAAAAACTGAAGACAAAGGCTAAGCGTTCTCAATTTGAAATCAAGGGAGCATCTGGGCAAACTTATTAAACGTCCAGGTCACTGCTTACCTTGCCAGTGAGAAGTTCAAAGAGGACAGCGCCCAGACTCCACCAATCACAGGCTTCAGTTTCTTCCGTGATTGCTCCAACCTCTAAACACACCAAAAAAGGTTGATATTAAAATTCCAAAGGTCAATTAAACTTTCAAAATTAACATGTATTAGCAAGGTGACCTTTTTAATGCTGAGAGAGCATATACTAAATACTACTGGGCTTTCAAAATTCCTGAAAGTTACGTATCCTTTTGGTCACCTACTGTGGTGGCATTTTTTTTTTGACGCAGTCATACATTAAACGGAGACATTTGTTCTTTAGTTGATAGAGGGACACCTTCAAGATGCTATACTTAAAAGCTGAATCAGCATTTTGCTTAATTTTTCAAATCTGAGAAAATATAGCCAACTCTACCTTAGGGGCCATTTTTTGTTTTAGAAATAAAGACTTTAGGTTTAAAAGGAACTTCAAAATTTATTTAAACCAGTATTAATTATCCTTTTAAAGATTCAAAACCAGAGAAGTAAAATGCTTTGTCCAGTGTCATACAGTAGATCTGTTGCAGTTCACAGACCTAGTTTATCATATCATCCCTCTCCTAAATAATCAAGTGTTTTCAACTAAAGAAGCATGTGAAATACAGATTTACCCATTTTGTTATTCTGAAGCACAGATAGATATGCTGCTTTAAGCCACAACTGAGACTACTGGCTAAGACAAGGGCTTTTAGAACACCTACAAATTACAGTTCTATCTGTGCTATCCTGATCTCTCACCAGCCCAAGTTCCTGAAATTAATATGAGTTTTCGGATGTCTTCTTTGAATTTCTCCACAAATCAGCAACAATTCCCTATTTTACCATTTCTGAGCCTTTCAGCCCTTAATTCATGTTTGATTTCTTCTTGCCCTTTCCTAATGACACCCAACTACTCATAAGCCTTGTCAATATCTGCTCTTTGGTTTCCACTTGACTAACAAAACGTATTTACCATGTGATTGCAGGTAACCCTCCACTGCTAACAATACCGCTCAGAAGTTTCTAAGTAGTCATGGTGGAACTTGGAAAACAAGGACCAGAAGTGATACTCGGGTGCCCCGCCCTTTAGCCCATACTTAGTAAACCCACAAGAACCACAAAACTCAAGAGCCTAAACCTTAAGTCTCAAAGCAAAGGTTATGTGGACCAGAGAAAGAACAAAAAGCCATTCCTAGGCAAAGCACTGGAAGTACTCCGTTTCAGCAACCACCCTCCACACCCCTCCACCCGTCCTCCTCTTCTGGATTTCAAATGGCTTAGGTGGAAGTCCACCCCTTCACCACAGCCCCCACCCAGCCTTCCTCTCCCTAATGAACTTCGGGCCCAAAGCACAACCTCCCTTCTCTAACTAGCTGCTCTAAGCTAGGCGGTAAAAGGAAAACAAAAATGTTTAATTACTGTGTGAATGACAAGTCTCTTAGTCCTCCTAGAGCCACCTAAGTTCATAAAACAGCAGCTCTGAAAAACTGAGAACCACCTAACAGAGGTCTAATGACATACATTGCGGCACATCAGTGTGCTAGACTACTACTACATGAGCATTTAAAATAGTGTATTCATGCAACATTTAAGTATATAAGTAAAGCTAGATATATTAAATTTTAAAAAAATAAGCTATAGACACTAGAATTGAAATTCTTAAAGTATGTATTTAAAAAAACACTGCTGAGAAATTATGATAAAATGTTTTAGGGATTAGCCTCCAGGGTGGTACAATTTTTATTTTCATTTGTATACTTATTAACCTACTACAAGAGTATCTACGTGGTACTGTTTTTAATGTACAGCAAGGTGACATGAAAACAAGACTCAGGCCCGTTGGAGCAGGAAGATGAAACTATGTAGGCCAATCCTCCCTAAGAATCAGTCTGCCTACGCAGTTACCCTGCAACTTGAATGTATTATATATTTGAGCAAAGGACTAGGAATCAGGAGTCCTGGGTTGAGAGCCATGAGGAACTAATTTGATCTCAGCCATAACATGATGGTTAGATAGGAAGGCTTCTAGGTTAAATTTAGCTTAAATTCTCTGATTTTGATACTCAAGGACTTCCTGAGCCAGTGATTGTCTTGGAGGCCAGTTCCTTGGGAGTTCTTAGGCTACCCCTCCCAGGTTCAAATACACTGGCCCCACCCCATTCCACCTTCCCCACAGAGGGCCACTCTCCCCTTCAGAACAGTGCTCTAGAAACTTTAGAAAGGCTGCATTTTCTTAGAAACTTTAGAAAAGTAAAATAAATTTACCACAGTCCTGTTTTTAGGCAGAAAGACAGATATTCGCAGGATGACAGATATGAGAGGACGGAGCCCGCCAAGAACCGAGGGAGTTAACCAGATTAAGCCCGAGAGCTGGAAGGACTCATGCCCTTGGCAGTGTGAGTTCATTCCACAGGCTCTGAATCTGGGCCGACCTGGAGACTTGCTCCAGCTAATGCAGGTGAGTTGGGCAGAGACATGGGACAAGCAACATGCTTAAGTTTCCTAAAAAATGCCAAGATTAGCATAATAAGAACAGGAGAGACCTCTTTAAGGCTAAGCTTCCACTTTTGAAAGAGTGGGAAGTTAGATTCTTTGGTAATCAGCCAAGAACTTATCTTAAGGCAAGGCAAGGTGTTCCCAATACTTGGGAGTGGCTACTACCTTAGAGAGAAACAAAAGGCTTGGCCGGCAGAATTACCTAGAGGACTAGCTATAGACAATGACATATTGTCTCTCACCAGAGATAGGATCATGAGATGAGACCACCTGACAAGCCCACACCCCCCGACCCTTCACCTTTGCCCCATTTTTGAAAGCCTTAAAAGACAGAATCCCAGCCTTTGGGTGAGCCTCCTCCTCTCTGAAGTTGCCCGCACTCCCCTTTCTTGGAGTGTGTATTTTCAAAAGACTTTTTACTGCTCAACTTACTACCCTCGGTCTCTGTGCTCTTGCAGTGGTGTCTCTGTTACTTCGCCATTCCATTCCATTTTCTGGACTGCAAGCACAAATCTTCATTCTCTCTGTCCTACTCCAAAAAGCAAGTAAACCTGCCTTTATCTACTTAGGCTCTAGCCCATTCCTCCCTTAGAGTACATTCAAATGGAACTTTCTTCCTACTTCACCATGTCTCTGCCCTTCAGTTCTTTCTGGTGGAGGGGACAGGAACCGAGAACAACCTCAGCCCCCCAACAGTCATCACATATAACCTTCAGCACATTTCCTTCCAGGCTAAAGCTGGCAATGGATTACATCATTTCCCTGTTCAAAATTCTGAAATGGCTTCTCAGTGACCATTAAATAACATTACGATGTCTTGTTTAATCAGGCATCCATATGAGGTCTCAACCTACCAGATTCAATCAACCAACACACACAAGTAGCACAAACTAGGCACAATGCTAGTACGATTCCTCTACAGAACTCTTAGCTGGCCACGCTGCTAAATCACATGAAACTAAAATCAGTTTTCCCACTAGCATAGCTAATGGTTTTATTGTTTAAATCTTTTGCTCAAGAATTTAAAGTATTCCATTTTTATCAGATAGCCAGTAGTATTTCTTAATTTTTATAAAGGTGGTACCTATTCAAAGCTCAAGACCCACAATTACTGATCAGCCATCTGTTTTCAATGTGCCATCAACAGGTCTCTGTGTACACACATTGCTTTGTGCATAGTGGGCACAGGCTGCACCAGTGAGAGTCACAATAAAAGAGCAGCTAATGTCTATTGACTGATACTATATGTAAGGAACTGTGTTTCACATTTTACATGAATTATTCAAAATTTCCAAGCAAGCAACCTATGGAGAACTTATTTGGATAGGGTGACTTTGGAGGAGAAAGCATATTGTATTTGTGTGTCCAGGGGAAGAGGACCATCTGACCCAGCCAGCTCAGGGAAAAGTTATGAAAATTAATGAGATGGTTGGTCTAACAACATGCCCTGAGGAGCGCTAAGCTAGAGCCACACCCCAAGTTTCTGCTTGGTAAGGTTTTTGGTTAGAATTGAGCAAAGGGCTGCTGAGATAAGCCTATGTAATGTAATCAGTGGCTAACATAATTTATAAAGGTACCTTTTAAATCCAAAGTGCCATCACCAGTGTAGCCTAGACCATCAGAAGCCTCATGTTCTGCCTGGTTCCCACATCACTGCTGGGAACGTGCACTGGGTAAAATGTGTCACCATGTGTGTATGGGGGGTGGGAGGTGGGGGGTGATTCTTGCAGCTACCAGATAAGCACAGTGCATCTTTCCGATGCTCAAAGGTTTTGATATGTGTGGGAGGGGGTGGGATATTGTTTACTATTAAAAGGAACACAGATCTACTATAGAACAGAATATAAAGTTTACATGGATTTGGAAAATAAAAAGAGTTCAAAGAAACTTCAGATCACATTTCAGTAACCCCTGGGCTACGCTTTTCCTATTACTCCACAGTTATAGTACTTGGGCATAAAAGTTTGAGGCACTTCAAGAGACAGACAAGGTGTATTCCTGTTTTGATTTCTGTGAACTTGCTCAACTAAGGAGTCTGAAAGTTAGGCTCATTAGTTTTATGCTGCTTTGAAATCCCCTGCAACTTTCTGACAGAGTCCTTAGCAGGTAGATAATGACCCACACACTACTTCAAATGTGGGTCACGGGTGTCTGTTGAGTCCCAACCTGACCATGAGGCCACACAGACAACAGCAAGAGGCCCAAGTAGGCCCTACTGCCAGTCTCCTTCCCGTTCGCCAGCTGGCTCACTACCCAGGCCAGGGTGCCACCGCGGCCGTGACCGCTGGGGACACTCTAGCACTGCCCATCTTAGGCTACTTCTTTCCTTCCCCATTTCTTTTTCCATCCTCCCTTGATCTTCCCCTGACAGCCTGTTTCTTTTCCTTTCCCCTTATTTCCTCTTTCTTCTCTCTTAGATGTCAATTAGTTAAGCTCTCCAATGGCAGTCAGGTCTAAGGAGCTCGCTGATCCCAATCTAAGAAAAACTGCTTCCTAAAGGTATGAAGGGGACCGATCACCATCTTTAATCCAATTGAGCTCAGAAAGAAGGATAATGAAAAGGTATGGTAAAAGGTAATCGTTTT